ATATATATATATATATATATATATATGTATATATGTAAAACAAAGTTTGCCATCTTCATCATTTTTAGGTGTATAATTCAATGGCATTAACTACATTCACAATGTCGTGCAACCATCACCACTATTTCCAAAACTTTTTCATTACCCCAAATAGAAACCCTGTGCTTTAGGGCTTTATTTTGTAATTGGTTATCTCAAAATTTTTTTCTGGCTTAAAAAAATGCACAATTCAAACTCTTTGTGCTTAAAATTTCAACATATGCTGTATGTTCGGGGATTCTGCTAGGTACGTGTCACTTGTTCATCAGTTCATCTGTTTCCTTTCATCCTTCCTAATGATGCATGCTTGGTTGAAGAGGGTGCCAATCCAGGTAGAGGAGAGAGGGCTATTATTCTGTCAAGGGCATTGAGGAGCTGTGTCCCGCTGCTGAAATCTCCAGATCAACTCTATTTGTAGGAGAACACGGGTAGTCTTACTTATTTAGTGTATTTTAAAATTTAAAAGCACTATTATTATTATTTTAAAAATTTATTTAATCTATTTATTTTTGGCTGCATTGGGTCTTTGTTGCTGCGCGTGGGCTTTCTCTAGTTGTGGCGAGTGGGGGCTACTCTTCATTGTGTTGCGCGGGCTTCTCATTGCGGTGGCTTCTCTTGTTGCGGAGCACGGGCTCTAGGTGCGCGGGCTTCAGTAGTTGTGGCACACGGGCTCAGTAGTTGTGGCATGCGGGCTGTAGAGCACAGGCTGAGTAGTTGTGGCGCACGGGCTTTGTTGCTCTACGGCATGTGAGATCTTCCCGGACCAGGCCTCGAACCCGTGTCCCCTGCATTGGCAGGTGGATTCTTAACCACTGCACCACCAGGGAAGTCCCTAAAAGCACTATTATATTCTTTTTTTTTTTAACATCTTTATTGTAGTATAATTGCTTTACAATGGTGTCTTAGTTTCTGCTTTATAACAAAGTGAATTATATTCTTGACAGTTTAGAAAAAAATTTAAGAACTTGTCATTACTTTGAACACAAAAGCGATTACTGTTTTTCCATGTTTCTTTTCAGTCTTTTTTCACTTGTGTGTTTTTGACATAGTTGATAATGATGGATCTAACTATATACAAGTGACTTATTTTTTCATCTGGCATATCACTTACAGGTTTTTATTTTTCATTTTGCTTAATAGTCTTCATAATAATAGGCCCAGGAATGCATGTAGCTTAATTTACATGACCATATTACTTTCTTTGACATTTAGGTTGCCAACATTTGTCACTATGACAAATGAACAACTTCAGACATCTTCTTTCTGTAGTTTAACCCCTTCATTTTGTTCTCATGAGAGGGAGACACAGAATGCTCACATGCATCTTGTTGGGGGTCATGGCTCTTACATTTTCCATGAAGATTTGGTACGATTAGCAGTGGTGTGTTTTTGTAGTTGTGATAAACATCAGATGGATGACACATGTTTGATTTGGTTTCAGGTTGTGAAAATCTTAGAGAAGCATGACCCCTTGAAGAACACCCAGGCAAAATATGGGTTCATCCCTCCAGATGAGGCCAGTGCTGTACAGAACTATGTAGAACACATGCTCTTTTTGCTGATTGAAGAGCAAGCCAGGGATGCTGCCATGGGGCCAATCCTGGAATTTGTGGTCTCTGAGAACATCATGGAAAAACTCTTCCTTTGGAGTCTGAGACGGGAATTTACTGATGAGACTAAAATGGAGCAGCTAAAGATGTATGAGATGTTGATCACCCAGTCCCACCAGCCTCTGCTGCATCACAAGCCCATCCTGAAGCCCCTGATGATGTTGCTGAGCTCTTGTTCAGGAACAACCACCCCCACTGTGGAGGGGAAGCTGGTTGTCCTGCTCAATCAGCTCTGTTCCATTCTTGCCAAAGATCCATCCATCCTGGAACTCTTCTTCCACACTAGCGAGGACCAAGGGGCTGCCAACTTCCTCATCTTCTCTCTTCTGATTCCCTTCATTCACCGGGAGGGGACTGTAGGCCAGCAGGCCCGGGATGCTTTGCTCTTCATCATGTCTCTCTCTGCTGAGAACAGCATGGTGGCCCATCACATCGTGGAGAACACCTACTTTTGTCCAGTAAGTCCTTCTTGTTGGCCCATTTTCCACCCGCTTCTCTTCTCCTCTCCTGGGCTAATGACAAATACTTTTTTATTCCTTTCTTTTCAGCAGACTATCCTTGGCACTTTCTATGGAAAGATATTTAGAGGAAATCTTTTGGAGGGAGCAGAGGAATTTAAGTTGAGATGCCATTCGGCTGAGCAGTGTCAGCTGGAAATAAGCCAACAGAGGAAACTATACGTGTTACTGTTTCTTGGTTCATTTCTGTTGGGTTCCGAGCTGTTTTAGTTTTTTCTAAGAGCATATCCTGAGCAGTTGGTAAAACCTGCTCTTCTTATATGCTTAGCTTTTCAGGTTGATTCTGTGCCAGTGAGTCATGGCATATGGTCAGACCCCTCACAGCTGGCTTCACAAATTAATTTGTTTCCCAGCAAGATAATGACCAAAATTGTAGATCCAAAGCACTGATTTTATTTTTTAAAGAAGGAATACATATTTACACTTTGAAGTAGCAAGAAGTGCTCTGTATAGTTTCTTTTTCTTTTCCTTTTAATGTTTATTTATTTAGGCTGTACCAGGTCTTCATTGCGGCACGCGGGATCTTTAGTTGTGGCATGCGGACTTCTTAGTTGCTGCATGCATGCGGGACCTAGTTCCCTGGCCAGGGATGGAACCCGGGCCCCCTGCATTGGGAGCGAGGAGTCTTACCACTGGACCACCAGGGAAGTCCCTGTATAGTTTCTTAATAGTTGGTTGGTGAGAAATAAAGGGTAAGGTCTTTTGGAGATGCCCGAGTAGCCAGGCCCAGTCATAGTCCTAGAAAATACTAGGAGATGTCTGAGATTCTTAAGAAGCCTTAGGACTCTGGTTATTTTTTGGTGTGATTTAAATGACAGATTTATAGATTTGTATCTTCTCTTGGTTTGTCAAATGTTGGGCCACAGCTATTTTTATTTTCCTAAATCAGTGAACATTTCCGGTTTATTTCCATTATCTGTTCTTTGTATCAATCATCTCATTATGTTACTTTATAAACTGTATTGCCTTAAATATTCCTGATTCTGCTGGAATCGTGTGTTAAGACCATTAGTGAGTTTTATTAGAACAGGCCAGGCAAGTTGCCATAAGTAGATCAGATTCATTGTTAATTAACACTCCGTGGGTAGTTCTGGACCGGGGTGAGGGCATTTAGAAGTGTACGTGGGGTGTGTTTGGTTGTCAAGGGACACGGGGTCGCCTGGGAGGGAGGTCAGCTGGCATTTAGTGTGCAGGGGCCAGGGATGCTTAATGTCCAGTAGCTTGTGGAACGGTCACGCACAGGAAAGAGCTGACCTGCCCCAGATGCTAATAGCAATCCTAGTGAGTAACATACTGTATTTTGCTTTGAGGTTCAAAAGCAGTAATCTTCTTTATACTACTGAGTCCTATTTTCACTAATAGACCAGAGTCCCCTAGTGTGTGGTAAATATTTATTTCAGGGGAAACAAATGAGTAAAAATTTTGAAAAATAGAATTTCAATTAAGTTCAGGGTGCCATGTTATCTCTTCTCTTCTGGCTTCTGACCAATGGAATAAGAAATTGCACAAAGATTGAGAATCGAATGGGAAGTGAAGCACTGATTCCATTCATCTGTGCCAACATATTAAATCTCCCTTCCTTATCTCCTTCAACAGAATTATAAACTAGATTATAAACTCTTTTTTTTTTTTTTTTTTTTTTTTTTGCGGTACGCGGGCCTCTCACTGTTGTGGCCTCTCCCGTTGCGGAGCACAGGCTCCGGACGCACAGGCCCAGTGGCCATGGCTCACGGGCCCAGCCGCTCTGCGGCATGTGGGATCTTCCTGGACCGGGGCACGAAACCCGTGTCCCCTGCGTCGGCAGGTGGACTCTCAACCACTGCACCACCAGGGAAGCCCTATAAACTCTTTTTAAAGAATATATCTTAAGGCAAAAATGTAACGTCTCACCCTGAATCTAAGCCTCTTTGGAATACGTTGCTGTATTAGTTTTCTACTGCGCCTGTAACAAATTACCAAAAACTCTAGCGGCTTTAAACAACACAAATTATTATCTTACAGTAGTAGTGTCTTGCCGTAGGTTAGAAGTCCAGAAGGTCTCACTGGGCTAAAATCAGGATGTCGGCAGGGCTGTGCTCCTTTCTGGAGGCTGTTGTGGTGAGTCCGTTTCCTTGCCTTCTCCAGCTTCTAGAGGCTGCCCACACCCCTTAGCTCATGGCCCCCTCCCCCATTTTCACAGTCAGCAGTACTGCGTCTCTCTGACCATCCTTCTGTAGTCACGTCTCCCTCTGACTCTGCTCTTCTGCCTGCCTCTCCCACTTCCACAAGGACATTGTGTTTACCTGGATCATCCAGGATTTAAAGATTTTTAAGATCATCTCTATTTAAAGATCAGCTGATTAGCACCCTTAATTCCATCTGCCACATTAATTTTCCTTTGCCATGGAACCTCATTTGTTCACAGGCTCAGGAACCAGCATATAGACAGGTCTGGGGGGACCATTATTCTGCCTACCACAGTTGCCATATTCATTCAGTTTGGAGGGCTCTTGAAGAGATTTGATCAAGAACACAGCATGATCAACATTCTTGTAGGAGTTTAATCTGACTATGTAAGTTTGGGAGTTGCGGAGGAAGCAGGGACACACATTAGGGTCGAGAAACAAGAGTGGCAGGAATGAGAACGTAAGAGAGGAGCTGGGTCTGAGCAGTGACGTGGAGGCAGCAGCTCATTAAACAATGAGGCTTTTTTGTGCAGGGGCTCTGCAAAGGTTTGAGTTTGGGCTTACTTGAATTGTTTTGGGTAGTTCTGCTATTAAAGAAGGAGTGCAGGTATTAAAACAAACCATCAAAACATTTACGTGGTTCACCTGTTCAGTATCTCCATGTCAATTTTAAAAAGGTACCATTGGACTTCCCTGGTAGCGCAGTGGTTAAGAATCCACCTGCCGAAGCAGGGGACACGGGTTGAGCCCTGATCTGGGAAGATCCCACATGCCGTGGAGCAGCTAAGCCTTGTGCCACAACTACTGAGCCTGCGCTCTAGAGTCCGCGAGCCACAACTGCTGAGCCTGAGTGCCACAACAACTGAAGCCCGTGCACCTAGAGCCTGTGCTCCTCAACAAGAGAAGCCACTGCAATGAGAAGCCCGCACACCACAACAAAGAATAGCCCCCGCTCGCCACAGCTAGAGAAAGCCCGAGCGCAGCAACAAAGACCCAACGCAGCCAAAAATTAAAAAAAATAATAAATAAATTTATTTTAAAAAAATAAAAAGGTACAATTCACAAAAGCATCATGATTTATCTTGAACAAATCTAACAAATATGGAAAAGGCCTTCACAAGAAAAATTATACAACTTTATCGAAGGGCATAAAATAAGATAGAAGTAAATGGAAAGCCCTGCAGTTTGTAGATATTGTGTAGAGGACACTTTTCTGCAAGTCAGTCCATAAAGTTAATGCAATTTATGTTTTACAACTTTTTATTATGGAAAAAAGCAAAATACAGAAAACTTGGAAGAATACTAAAATGAACACCATGTACACACTGTTTAAATTCAAAATTGTTAATATTTGTCATACTTCTGTATATTTATCACCTATGCCCTTTATTTGTTTTGCTGTGCCATTTGAAATTAAATTATAGGCATCAAGTATTTTTAACATGTATCTCCTACAAATAAGGACATGCTCCTGCATAATCACAATACCATTACTACACTAAGAAAATTATACAATAATTCCATAATATGATCTAATATCCAGTTTCCCAATTAGGCCCCAAGTGACTCTTTTTTTCATTTTGGCTGCATGGCACGGCATGTGGGATCTTAGTTCCCTGACCAGGGATGGAACCCCTGCTCCCTGCATTGGAAGCGTGGATTCTTAACCACACCCGGGTTCGATCCCTGGTCTGGGAACCGGATCCCGCATGCTGCAATTAAAGATCCTACACGCGGCAACAGAGATCCCGTGTGCCTCAACTAAAACCCGGAGCGGCCAAATAAATAAATAAATAAATTTTAAAAAAGCAAAAACACAGATTGGGAGAAGATATTTGCAACACACATAACTACAAGTGGTTGGTACCCAAAATATACAAAAATATTTGTAATACTACAAATTAATAAGAAAATGAGGAAACATGGGTGAAGGATACGAGCAGACATTTCCCAAAAGACCCCAAACCTGATAAATATATGAAGATATGCTCATCGTCTCTAGCGTCAGGGAAATACAAATGAACCCACAATGAAACACCAGGTCATGGCATCAGAGTCGCTAACCATTAGACATCTGATAACACCAAGTGCTGTCAAGGGGGTGGGAAAACAGGAACTCTTGAGAATATAAATTGGTACAATAACGCAGGAAAGCCATATGGCAATATTTAATGAAATTGAATATTTGCGTACCATGTGATCCTGCATCTTCACTTCTAGATATCTGCCCTAGGGAAATCTGGCACATGTTTACAAGGGTACATGCACAAAGATATTGTATAGCATTGGGGTGCGCGGATCTTTTCGAAATAGTATTTTGTTTTCTTTGTATAAAAATGGAATGAAATTTTGCCATTTGAAACAGCATGGATGGACCTGGAGGGTATTATGCTTAGGAAATAAATAAGAGAAAGACAAATATGTCTTCACTTATATGTGGAATCTAAAAAATAAAACAAATGAAGAAATATGACAAAACAGGAAAAGACTCACAGGTACAGAGAACAAACTCGTGGTTATCAGTGGGGAGAGGGCTTGGGGTCAGGGCAAAATAGGTGAAGGGTACAAACTACTAGGTATAATGTAAATAAGTTACAAGGATGTAATGTACAGCACAGGGAATATAGTCAATATTTTATAATAATTTTGAATGGAGTGTAATCTATAAAAATATCAAGTTACTATGTTATGTTGAAACTAATAATATTGTAAGTCAGCTGTACTTCAATAAAAAAAGAATGAATCACATTTCACATTTATTAGCATGTAACTGCA